GCGCTGGCCGTGCCTCTGCCTGGGACCCCTGCCCTGCTACTTTCCGACACCCAGTCCCCCATGCTTGGATCTTAGTGCATTTGTCACCTCCTCCGGGAGGCCCTCCCTGACCACCCCAGTGACTTGAACTCCCTCAAATGTGTCTCATGCTCCTTTGCCGTGTTCGCCTCCATTGCACTTGCCCGAAATCATTTTATTCCTTGTTGTTCGTTTGCCGCGGGTGGTGGGGGGGGGGGGACGAGACACCTTTCATGGGGGATGGTCACACCACAACCCCTTCTCCTCCAGCCCTCCCTATCTGCAGCATTTGGACTTGCACACTCGTGCACCGGGGCGTTTTTCAAGTCGCCGTGTCTGGGACTTGAACCACGCAGTCAGCCGTGTGGGGTCCAGCTGCCCTACCCACAGGGGCGCTGGCTGGCCTTTATTCCTGTTCGTTTCTTCGCACAGTGGCCTTTCCTAGCACAGGAGCTGGGTCTGTCTTGGTTTTCGTTTCCTAGGAGTTCTCAGGGCGCATCATAGATGCTCGCTCCATAAACACTGGGCGAGTGGATGGACTCCCTTGGAGGGGATGGGGTGAGGGGTGGAGTCTTGGGCTGGGTCCAGTATACAGTCAGTACTTAATAAATGAAGGAGGGGGGCCGGCAGGTGGCGTGGGGGTGAAGGCGCTGGGCTCCCGCATGGCCGACCGCGGTTTGAGTGGCTCTCTTTCTCTCTCTCTCTCTCTCTCTCTCTCGGGTTAAATTCAAAATAATACGATGGGACCAGCAGGTGGCACAGTGGTTAAGGTGCTGAACTCCCACATGGCCAGCTGCAGTTTGATTCCCGGACCTAGCAGCTCCACACTCACCTAAGGCGCGTGCACGGCCCCCAATCTCCAGAGCAGAATGGAGAAGGGATTGCGTGTGGCCATCCCCTCTGGGGAGTGGTTTCTCGCGTTCTCTCACTGTCTCTGCGAGCACAACCCCTTATAGCAACATTGTGGCAAATAAATAAATGAAGAAGGAACGGATGGTTTCCTGAACAGGGCTGGTGCCATGTTAGAGCAGCAGGCGGGATGCCCAGGCCCTCCTCGCAGTCTGAGATACCTGACGCGGCTTCTTCATTCACTCACTCACTCATTCATTCACACATTCGTGGGAGGAGTCTTGCAGAAGTCTTGTGTTGGAGCACCGCCCGGTCCCTGTCCTGCTGGCGTCTCAGTTTATGGCTCCACTTCCGGTCTCTGTACGGAGATACGGAGGCCTTCCTGGGGGAGTCGGCGCTGGGCCTGGTACACAGCTGGCCTTAGTACATGTCCCGGCTACTTCCTGTCTGCTGGTGTATCTTCCACCTGCACATCCACTGGGTGGAGGGTGCAGGGAGGAGGTGGTCCGAGTCAGCGTGCTCATCACCCCCCTGCAGTGTAGACTGCTGCAAATAACATGCAAATAAATGCAAGTCGTATGCAAATGAACACAAATGCCACGCAAAGCAACGCTCCCCGCAGCTGCACAGCCTGAGGTGCGCGCATGGGGGCGCCCTGCGAGCGACCCTGCAGGCCGAGCCCGGGCGCGGAGCTGGCCCCTGCGCTGACCGGCGTCCAGTGGGGCTTTCAGTGCTCCGTGTAAATGTTTACACCGGGCTGGCCGCCAGGCTCCGCGCGGCCCAACACCAAGCGGTTTCGGGGGGAGGGGGGGAATGTAAATGGGGGCTAGGGGCTGTAAAGGGGGGCTAGGGGCCACCCGGCGGCAAAGTGGGGGCTGGGGGAATAGGCGTGAGTTATTAAGCGCCTACTGCATGCGGGAGCACACGCGAGCAGGCAGTCACAACATCCAGCAACCAGTGCAGTGATGGGGGAAGTTCGGGGCCCCAGAGGGTGCCCCTCGGCCGGCCTGGGGAGTGTGGGAGGCAATCTGGGAAGACTTCCTGGAGGAGGCACGGTGGCAGCTGAGAGTGATAAGAG